GTATATCAGTGCAAAGAATGAGTTTGTTTAAATCAGTCAAGTCAGTGCTTATTTTGTACGGAGAAAATAAGTGCACCCAGGGTCAAATCTGTTCAAGGAAGGAGTCATTTATTTCCTTTGCCGAACGGAAACTATTATGTCCCTTCACCAGAAGAACACACAGTTTCTCTCACTACCCCATATTAAGATGGCAATTATCAACCCACAGATAATACAGTGAACAACACAGCAGTTGCTATAATGTAGAACCACTCATGCATTCAGAAATGTGCAAAAATCCACACAGGAAAAGCCCGAAAACAGCTTGATTACATACACATTCAGCTTCAAACAGAATCACACACTGGCTCAACCTGCTGAGTGCTCAGTGTGTAGCCTGAGGCTCCAATTTTTTGTTCTACTACTGATGCTGTCCATCCTGTCTTCAAGCTACAGTTAACCCGACAGTCAGAAGGGCTTCATCAGCTCGGATTGTGTAACTGGAAATACAAATGTGCACAGTGGCTATTTCTCGTTTTTGAGTAGAAAGACTGTTTAGGAGTTGGTACACATAGGATGATACATTGACTTGTTCAAAAAGGGAGGCTGAATTTTACTATACAACCACACACAAATACAATCTGTATGTACTGTACATATACAGAAAGGTGAGCTAAATCAAGCGCAATTAAACCATACAACCCAACTCCTACAATGTCCACAAACTGAGGCTCTGGTGTAGGTAGTGAAGGTCAAAGAGAAGGAAGTGTGACGTCAAAGAGAAAAGGCTTCTTTATTCATATATTCATAAGAAGTCCTCCCTAGGACCCTAAAGCACATTGGCTATGCACTGGCTCCTTGTGTTACCCATTCTGCCTATATGATGCTGCTGTTTGGGTCCTGCCCTCATCGCTTTTTATGCATTAAGGTTAAAAAGAAAACAATAGGGAATTTATGTTTAAGAGACAGGGATTGACAGATGGAGATTATATTGTTTGTATACAGTATGCTTATGTCTCAACATTCCTACACAGTTACTTTAAGGGTTAATTGACCATGCATATGAATAACATTGGATTGTTTCCATTTCTAATCTCCCCAATGCCACAGCCTTTACACCCCCATGCATTTTTCACACTGAAATATTAAACCCTTTCAAAGGAGGCAACACAAACAAAGGCACCAGCATAAATAAATGTTTCCAGGGCGATATGATCAAATGCAGTGTTACAGAATAAATACAATAAGTACAATCTTAGTCAGAGCTACCTAGGAAAAAATCATTACAACTTAGACCCCCAGAAGGTAATGTTTCTCTCCTGACAAGGCTAAGGGTCATGCAGTTGGCCACTCAATTCTAACCTGTCTATCTTTGAGAGATAGGAAAGGGCAGTTCCTTTAAATCTTCACACACCCCTTTTTATTGATCCAGCAATTTAATTGGATCCCGCCTTGAACTCATGGAATATCATGTAAAGTTATCTGTCAATTTCAGAAAATCTAATTCAGGTGAAGAGGTATAACAATAATAAAAAAAGAGCAGAAAAATGTGGGCACCTGAATTATATCCACCATTCATCAACCTTTTCTAAAAGAATCAATAACAAAGGCTCTGGCCTTCATGTAACCTTCCACAGGAGGAGGCCTGGTCACACTTCTGACCCCTTTGCGGGTGCATTTTTCGCTTGAGAGAAGCAGCAGTGATCATACAAAAGCTCCAACAGAAGAAAGGTTTGCCACTACATAGCTATGACTCATGTCAGACGCTTAGCGGGCCATCATTGCAGGCACCGAGGCATGAGTGTGTGTTTGCACTATTTATGTGTCCTCCGATGTGTTATACACAGCACGAAAGCACTGGGGAGAAGTGGCATTGTGCCCTGTGGCTGTGATATTGCAGCAGTATGTGTTTCTGTGTAGATATGTGATACAATATCACACAGAGAGGTAAAGAACTTTGAGAAAGAAATCATAGTAGAGAAAATAGCAGGATGGAAACTGATAAAACTCTCCATATAGAAACAGATCAAGAGTTTAGCAATAAGTTGCTCATTGTATGAATGTCTGAATAATAGGAAATTAAGTAGTGACACTTCCTTCTTCAGTGGATTTAGAAACTGAACTATAAACTCCACAGGGAATTTGCAGTCTAAGAGAATGAGGGCATAGACGGGTCAATGGAAATGCCCCCGAAATCCCTGGCAACTTCTGCTAATAATGCCTGCTGTCATTTGGACAGAGACGCAGGGAGGGTCACAGAAATAATGATCGATTTGCTATTCATAGACTGACCTTTAAAAGCTTTACAGTGTTGGGCGATTTGACTGCAATTTCACTACATACCAAATGTGTTGAAGCTGTCACTCATCTGCTTTGTCTTGCTGGGATCAAAGCTTAATTAACTAAACACAGATTTGACACATTTTAATAATATGACTAGAGAAGTCAGCGACGATAGTAAGTTATCTTCCTCTCTTTATGGCACTAGATACTGTATGCAGCAAACGTGGTCTCCTGTCTTCCTCTGACCAAATATAGGCGGAAAATCTGAATATAGTCAAGAGTATGAAGAGCATTAGTTGTATTTTGCTGTATGGTATTGTGTCGTATGTAATTATGGTGCTTATTTCAGCATTGAATTGATTATATTATGGGCAAACATTTGAATTAACCTTCCCAGGGACTACAGATGAAAATGCGCTCATTAGTTAACTCTGGCATATTTACATTGAGGAGGCAACTGAAATCTTGATTAATGTGCACTGTCTCGCGTAAAGAAATAAATAAATTACTTTGAAAAACAAGAGACAGACAGACATCCTATACGACGACAGCCCAGTGGCACTCCTCTTTAATGATGGAAACGATTACATCTGCTCATCATTGTCCAGCACAGTAGAACCAAAACATTGTGTTCACCGCCCCAAGCAATCAACGTAAAAAGCCATAGCACACATCATCCACACCCTTATCTCACCTGGACAAAAAAAGGGGCTTTGTGAGATTGCTGTTCATTGACCGCAGAGTAGCGTGTTACACATTAGTTCCCTGCAGGCTCGTCACTAAGCTCAAGGATCTCAGATTAAACACCTCACTGAGCATGTGTATCCTTGACTTCCTGACAGGCAGACCCCAGATGGTGAGGGTTAGCTGTTACACACCATTGAAGTCTCATTCTTAATAGCGGAGCACCCCAGGGCTGTGTTTTGAGCCCGCTGCTATATCCCCTGTACACATACCACTTCTGACTAACACCACCAAGGACTCAGCAGTGGTGGGTCTGATCAAATATAACAATACAAACTGTAGGAAATAGAGGATCTGATCTGCAGTGTCAAATCACTACTTCTTGTGAATGTCACCAAAGCTAATGAGCTGTCAGTGGGGTTTTGGGAAAAAGCAGGAAAGAAGCTATAAAAGAAATTCACTCCAGTTCTGGTATCACGGATGCTATAATTGCACCGCTTCTTTATGAGGTGCCATTGATGTTTTGAATGAAAAGTAACCTCTCTGTGTCATCTCGTCACTCACTTCCGTACCTGCCAGTAGCTCCTTAAAAGGCATGAATGACACTGATGATTCCCTCATAAACAAGTTCAGATAAGCTCCCATTCCCAAAGAGCAAAAGGCAATTATAACCAATACGTTTTGGAATTATTCTTCTAGATTCATTAAAATGACGGAAAAGTTGAGTGTGGTCCTGTGTTATAACTGGAAGCTTACCTTGACATAAGCAGGCTGTTTCTCCAGAATGAGATCGGCAACCTTTTTAGATACCTACAGAGAGAGAGAGAGGGNCTTTGTGTGTGTGTGTGTGTGTGTGTGTGTGTGTGTGTGTGTGTGTGTGTGTGTGTGTGTGTTTGTACACACTGCATACATTCCTGGTCTACTTCACAAACAGGAATGTATGCAGTGTGTACAAACACACACACACACACACACACACACACACACACACACACACACACACACACACACACAAAGATGCAAGTGAATGGTTGAATGTTATCATGGCTTGTTGCCTGAAGGCTTGTGGCACAATGTTCCTGTTTATGTAAAATAACCTTTATACATCTAGAAGTAACATATACAACTAAAACATAAAAACACAGAAACATTCCCTACACTCGTGTTGCCTGTGAAGTCCCATTAAAGAAACATGTTATAATCATAAGGCAACACATTTAAACTAAAATTATATTATACTTTCACAAAAGTTGATTACAATTAGTTAGAATGCAGTTCTTACAATTAGCTAAAGTTTGCATTGTACATTCTTGTACTGTATGTATTTGTGCGCCATGAGAGTCGAGTGGAAATCAAAGTGAAAAGATTAGTTTGGGTAATCACAAGTTGGGTCTATAATGCAATGTACTTTTTAGTTTTGACACAAATAGCCGACTCATGATTCAGTTAATGACTGAACAGCGACTGACAGTATGGCTTACTGTATACCTTAATAATGCTGGAGCACATACAGTTGACATTATGTATGTTGATAAATGAAATAATTGTGTTTATTACTGCAAATTGCACTTCCTAGTGTAGGCAGGTTGATCTTCTGTTAGCTGTAGCAAGAGAGCTTGAAACTCACATACTGTATAATAATAATAACAATAATAATAATAATAATAATATATTTTAGGCGCCTTTCATATTTATTTATTTCATTATCTTTGCTTTTTTATGCCTGCTTTTAAATGCCATTTAATAATGTGTTTATGCTGTATTTATTCTTAAATCTCTTTGTTTTTATTTTGTAAAGCACTTTGAATTGTCGCGTGCTGAAAGGTGCTATATAAATAAAATTGCCTTGCCTTGCCTAGAGAATAGAATAGCCCCCGAATATTTCCAAGTGCTAGATCGATTCTTTTCAGCAGTTTTAGTGCCCAATTATCAATAATGCCTTTGGATCTGAAACATTAACTTAGAATAGTCCCAGTGTTTACAGATAACAGTACGCTGCTTTGTCTTATTTACTGTCAATTTAACCAAGTCTATGATTTTACCTCTTACTTTTTTCACAGGAACTGGAGCGAGTGACATCGTTGCAGACCAACCTGCAGCTGGCAGCGGTCATTTGCACTAATGCAAGAAGGTGAGTGTTACTTTTTATACTATTCACTAATAAATTGCTGCTGAAATAGCCCATTTAAACTGCATCTGCAGACCAAGTGATTTCCTCATAAACATGATAATGTCCCTTCCAGTCATATATTGTCTGTCTGTTAATGTGGTCACAAATAAAAAAACATATTGAAATAAAGTCTGACTCAAAAACGTTCCGCCATACATTTCATCTGTCCATCAATATAATGTTTGGTTATCATGCTTGATGTTTTGTTGTTGTGGGTAATCAGATGAGACTTTTTGTTCAAGGGTTTCTTAAAGTTTGGGTTGTGGTAAACTGTATTTTTTTCTATTTGAGAGCAGGTATCATGATTCATGTCTCTGTTGTTATTAACTATGATTGCTAACACACGCATTTTGGTGAGCCTGTCGTATGAAAAGCTTCAATTATTCATACTAGTGAGTGGTTTGTAAAACCATTAAACCTTCTGTAAAATAGGCTTTTGGTGCTCTGCATTAATTGGGATAATGACTACAGGGAAAACACCAAGACTATACTCTACACTGTTTGTGTGTGTCATTATAGATGCACATTATAATGAAAACAGTTTCAGAGGTGGCTAGTAGTTTGGACTTTTAAATGCCTACTTAGCATAGTAGCATTCTTATTTATTGATATTCCCCCTGTTCTGTGACGTCTCGTTTTAAGGCAACTGAGCGTCTCGAAGGAAGAATTCACAGAAGCCAGCTTGGGTCTTTTGGCCAATCAGAGGAGGCGGCAGCTGCTGACAGGCCTGCTGAAGTCACTGAGGACCATCAAGACGCTGGTAAAGTTTACACTCAGGGTTCACATACAACATACTTTGTTCCAAACTGCATCTAGCTATAGTGTTAGACTGGAGTAATGCCACAAAGACCGGATACGTGTCAAATCCATTAAGGCAGGGTCACTACTACCTAGTCTACATTATAGTTTCATTGCAAATGGTTTAAAATTAAGATTTAAATGAATAAAAACATATATTCTGAAACAGTTTTCTATGATCAGTCACTTATTACCTTGTGTGTGATCATTGACACACCTTCAACACAGCTTTCATGCAACTATGGGCTTTAATTAAACACTGTGTCACATAATGATTGTAGATATGTCTTGAGAAAGGTCCCTGTGACCCAAACGTCCACCCTGTTGAAATAAATCAATGCCGGTGGGATAACTGTGTGTGGGAATAGTCTTCTATCTTTGGATCTTGGGGGGAATCTATTCCTTGAATCACAAAGGAGATAAAACAGATGGTGTACTTGTTCCCCTCTACTCAACTGAACGAGATCCTTGAAAAAAATGTGTATACCAACATGGTGCTGAAAACCATGTAACTAGTGTTGAAGTAATTATTCATCATATTGTGGCCTGGTATTGATTTATGCTGTGTTAATGTTTTCTCCTTCATCTCATTCTTCCCCTCACAGCAAAGAACAGATGTGAGACTCAGCGAGATGCTTGAGGTATTGTAATCCTTTCTACAGACAAACACACACACATACACACACACACTCATGTAGGTATATGTGCAGGGATACATTTATAATTGTCTTAAAAGGTCAAACATCAGTAGGGATTGTGCTTTGAAAGCCAAACCCACACAAACACAAGACGCCCCCCACACACGCCCGTCTATTGTGAAGGTCAGGTGTAGCACATGGAGTAGATCTGACTTCCACTTAGTGTAATCCTTAGTTATCCGCACAGCATCGGCAGCAGCAACCATTTTTCAAGAAGTTCAAAGAAAACTCAATGCACAAAAGAAATCACACATAACTGTCATAATCCAGATTGTGAACCAGACTTACTCGTGATATATTTGGTTTTCATACATGAAATGACTTCACCTCTGTGTGACTTTAGGAGGAAGACTATCCAGGTGCGATCCAGCTCTGTCTGGAGTGTCAAAAGGCTGCCAGCACCTTCAAACACTACAGCTGCATCAGGTACAGTATGACCACATTGATAGAGGGATATTTAGTTGTCTTTAAATGGGAGCAGGCTGGCACCGCTATGGGTGGATGAAACGTTTTCTGTGTACTTCACTCCTATTGTGAAACCAGTTACATCAGGCAGGCAGCGGGGGAGTCATGTGATACGGATGGTTTGACTGAAAAACACATCAACAGACACGCTCAACACACTTAACTTGAACCATTTAGGGTGGCTATTATTTTAACAATTATAATCATGATTATTTTGGTCAATATTGAGATTATGATTATTAAATATGATCATACTCACTGACTTACCGAACAACATGGATTAATTAAAACAATCGGTTTTTAGCAGTGAATTTTGTTGAATTTTTAAAATAGGAATCAACTGAAAAAAAAAGAAAGATAAATAAAATACATTCTGTGTAATTCTATACATGCACAAACATACATATACAACTGAATGCAAAAATTGCATAAATAAAGTAATATATAGAAAATGGATCAGACCAAAAGATATCTATTATGTCATTGTGCACCGCAACAAAATACTGAAAACTCTTAAACCTAATTTGAGCATTTTGTAAGGCTGGTCATGCTTGATTTATAAAACAACACAAAAGGAGAGCATTAGTGCCAGATGGAAAACATCCCAAAAATCTCGATAACCTTTTTTTCTTATACGTTTGAAGCCAAAATTGTTATGGATTGAAAATAAATGTGATTAATTGCCCATCCCTGGAACCATTGTGGGTACACAATGGTGTTTTGATTGTGCCCAAACACAAGTGCCCATAATAAACCCTCTTCTCTGAGTATATTGAAGATACATATATTGTATGTGCTCCGAGGTAGGCTTGGCCACATTGAATACCAGAGGGCCAATCATCCCGGTCCCTTTGATTTTCTGTGTAATCGTGCTCAATTTGTGGCCGTACAGTAGGCGGGAGCCACAGAGCTCCTTTGTATGTATTGATTAAAGATTGATGTGGGATGTACATCACTGCTGGCCTTCTCCCTCTTACTGTGAGACCACGTACAAACTCGGACAGAACATCTTGTCAAGAGCTCTATGTGAATACATTTATTTACCTGCTCACACACAAATACATCGTTTTCCAACCTTCATTTTCCATTTAGTCCTGCACGGCAAGGTGTTTGTTCGTCTATTTTTGGAGCTAGCATTGACATCACCAAATGTTGAGCTGCTTGTCAACACTGCTCAGTATTAGCTCACAGCTCCTCCCGCACACACAGACCTTTTTAACAACTCTGCTCACCTGCACCTCTACATTTATCTGCTTCACCTGGCTGGGACAATGCGGTTCGAGTGACAGAATGAGTGCTGGGAAATGGTGATCAATATGGTAACATTATGCACAGCGGATTGTTGTGGTATGGAAATCTCCTCCCACTGTTCTTTGTCACTTGCAGCTGCTTTTTATTACGCTGGATGTCCGTTTTGTGAATGAGCTGGATCAAGGTGTGCAGAATAGAGTTGATCCTCATTATCCAGCAATGATACAATCCATTGCAACCATTCCGAGAACATAAAAAGAGGCTCTTTTATTGTTTGTATCTGTTGATACAGCTGCATCACAAACGTGCAGCTGGTTAGACATTCGATTGAACTCTTCACCTTTGCTTTTCTTTGCAATATGCTAATTCTGCTTCCTGGACGCAGTGGTTTAAACCTTGGTGCATTGATCACACATCTGTCACTTTTTGCATCAGCATTGCTTGAGCCCTGACTGCAGCATTGCCCCTACCTTAGCACCTCGTTTCTCGTCTGCTGCGCTCTGATTTGACCTTGAAGCCACAGTATGCTTCTCCGTGCGCTGCTAGATGCTCTTCAGTTCACTGAGGCTTGTTTCGCGCCTACCCTTCCTTTGTCCCTGTCCCAAACGCTTTAAAAGTCAATATTGCTTCCCCCAGAAGGCACCTAGACAACCTCATGCTCCGTCCATTTTCATCAGACAGTGGCAGCTCTTGGGCAGCTTAAGACCCCTAGCATGTCAGCACGATGTTCACAAACTGTAACTCTGCTGTGTTCATAGAAAAACAAAGGTGTGATTTAAAAAGACACCAACAGCATCTCTGTCAGATTGTGGGCCTTATAAGAAGTAAGACAAAAATGTTGTACAATTTGACCGTGATACATTAAAATGAACATGTATGTATGATTTTGTTTTTATATACTTTTATTTGACCATACACATATTATTTCCATTTAACAGTTTAAGATCAGTGAAATTAAAAACATGAAATCCTAAATGTATATTAACCTCCCATCTGTTAAACGTGGGGTAGGTAAGTTTGAGAAACCGGCTCGAGATATAGATTGTTATATTCCATGGAATGCTCTTAACATCCCGATAGCAATGAATATCTTAAGTGCTTTGACAAAAAATCCATAAAGAAATGTCATCTGTGGAAGCCGTAGTACTGTAAAAAGCACGACCAATCATTTTAGCCAGCCCATCTGCCTTCCATCTGTGCACAAACTTATCTCGTGCGGAGGGGCTCTGTAAGGAAGTGGCAGATTTTTTACGGTTGTGTATTTTCAAATTCTGGCGCACTCGAGCTGGTTTCTCCAAGATTACCTACCCCACCTTTAACTCTCATTCTTTTGCTTCTTTGCCCTCTCCTCGTAAACTTCCCCCAACCTCCTCAACTTTCTGATTTGCATATGGTCGATGTTGTCCTTTCTCAATATGTTTCACTCTTTGAAGCCGTTCCGATGCCACTTTGTTGCCTGTCTGCCTTGAATATAACAGTGACCAACATGACTACAGCAAAAACAGCACTCTCACAAAATCTGAGCGTCCTGCAGGATCCTTGAAGCACTTGAAGACTCCCACTTTGCCAAATGAGCAAGTCAGCAGTCACAGTGGAGGGGCTTGCCTCTAGGCGCTGTGGACAGCTATTGCCAGTGATAGCCGACACACAGATTTCCACAAATCTCCTTTTCAATCTTTTTGTTCCCTGCGGGGAACCGCTTGTTAATTAGGTTTCTCTCCTCATCGGTTATTTATGCATTCTGTGTGATCATGGAAGGCAGCCAGTATGTGGGGAGGAGCTGCATCTGCATACACATGATCACTCACCGGACAGTGAGTCATTCGGCATGATATTCATGGGGTGAACACAATAACAGGAGGACTGGACAATATGTTCACCTGGGTTATCGACCTTTAGTTGACCTCTTGTGTTGTTTTTCAAAAGTCCAGAGAGTTCTTTAACATGATTACATATTACATTATTGAACCAAGCATTAAAGGCTCCATTTGTGTGATTTCAAGTGATCTGGCTGGTTGTCCAGTCCCCTTTCAGACTTATATAATGCACTTGTCGATTAAGTTTAGTGATTATGATGAGTAACAGAAGATGGGATGATGTGAAGACTTAAATGTTTGAAGTTCTGTAATAAGTGAATTGTAGGGAAATACACTTATATACCTTTCTATGAGTTATTTTAGAAGATTGATGCCACTTTTGTGGCCGTACGCTACATATGGAGCTCAGCTAATGGTCAGCTTAGCTTAGCAAAAAGCTGAAAGCAGAGGGCGAATGGTTATCCTGGCTCTGTCCAAAGGTCTCAAAATCTGGCTGCCAGCAGCTGAAAATATCGGCAATAACTATGTTCTATCTCGCTTGTTTGATCCACATAAAAACCGAAATGTAAAAACAACTCCTGTTTTTTACGGGAGTTATTTAGTTACTATTTCATACATGAGGATTTCACTGATTTGTTCTGTTTCTGATTCAGATTAAAGGAACAAGATGAAAACTGTGAAATAGTGATAGACGCTGCTAGTGTACTTGGAGCTTTGAACCGTTTCTCCTGTTTTTAGTTTTTTATACAAAGCTGATGTAAGCTAATCAAACATCTAACTCTTTGCAAGAAAGCAGATAAGCTTAGTAATTGACCAAATTTTTTGGAATGTGCACTTAAGTTCCTTTAACCACTAGGTATGTAATGCCCCGTTGCTGCCCAGTTTTCTTAATGTTCGTCAACCATTGCCGGATGTCTGCCATGCTGTGACGAGCACTGGTTCTTGTTCTGGGAAATTGGAGTTCTCAGCCTTACACTCATGTGTTCTTAAGCCCCTGAGCATTGAAGTGGTGGGATGATTTTGTTTCCTCCTAAATGCGTTTTCAACACTGTTCAGTTTGTGGTTAAGCTTCTGTTCCTTTACCATCCTTTAGCGTGGGAGTATTAAAGAAAGTTGTGTGGTGAACAGGGCATTTATCCTGTTGGCCTCTGCTCCTCTGGTGTATCTCCTTAGTGTGGCTGCCAATGCTGAAAACCTTTGTTTAGCACTCTCCTGGGCTCTGCATATGGACATTCAGACACTTTTTGCTTCAGTAGCCAGGACCTGACATTGATGCGTTCACCCCTCTGTAGTCGAGCCAGCTTCCATGCTTCCAATCCCAGTTTGAGGATACTTTGGGCTATGACTTGCCTTCCTGAGCTTAAAACTGAGAATGTCTTGTGTTATTATTGCTGCGGTACATACCAACCCAATGGATCATTTTACAGTTTTGTAATAGCAATAGAGCTCCGGCATCTGCTACTGTATGTCACACTGTTTCATAGGAAATTCCCTGTCATCCATGGCACTTTAGTTCAGACGCTCAAAAGTAGCTTCTTTGATCAATTTCCTGATGTGGTGAGAGCAACGCTGGCATTGTTTTATCCTTGTGAGTCTGTGTGTGCTCCATCATGTCAAAATTGGCTTTTTGAGACTCTTACTTAAGTGGGAACTGCCATTAAATCTGTTTTGAGTATTCTCAATCTTTTTCTCTGTGTCTGTCAGCGGAAAGATTTTGTCACTGAGATAGCGTTGATCAAAATGAAGGAGTTTAAAGATGGGTGAGGTCTGAGCAAGAGTGTTGGAAATGGCAAGTAGGCCCCCCCTGACTATACACTCTCCGCCAATATGGTCTCCATTTTGAACATTTGTTTACTGTTGTTGTTTCAGTTGGTTTGGAAACAACCTGTAGGACTCCTGTAGCCTCCTCTCAGTTTCTCCCCCCCCCCGCCTCCCTCTCCTAACTCGATACCCAACTGAAGCTAAGACGCTTAATTAGCAATTTATTAAGGACACTCTCCCCCTTGGGCTCCTGCGGTCTCACAAGGCCCAACATAAGTGCGGGCTGACCTGAAAAAGACCCCAAGCAAAGCAGGGACAGAGGCAGGGGAACGGGGGAACAGAGGATGATTATAAATGGGTGCGTTGCAGGGGGAGTCACATGGGAATAGAATTGCTGTCTCGGGACAGGAAAAGTAGTCTTGATTTATTTTGCTACTTTTGAGTTAAAAGCAATCCCAGGATGCGGCAAAAAAAAATGAGCACACTCCAAGGATGGGTAGGAGTTTTGTATCCGTGTCTGGTCCATGCTGAGACACACACACACACACACACACACACACACACACACACACACACACACACACACACACACACACACACACACACACACACTCACAATTTTATAGCAGATGACACTGTAGACATTGAAGTACAAGCACTTGAAACACAAAAAAACTTGTATTCCCAACAGACAATTGTGCGAAACATGGCTGCAGCTTGCTGATAATGTTCCTTTTGAGAATATTTTATTAATTTGAAATATAAACCGAGCCACATTGTGGTTCCTATAATAGTACTCAATTTTTCAAAGACTACTGAAAGGAGATGAACTAAAGGCAATGACAAACAAAGACATTTATAAACTATTATTTATTTTTCTCTGACTTCTGGTGTGCACTATCCAATTAAGTAATTATTTAAATACTTGTTGTAATTTTATCGATAAAAACCTTTAACAATGAATAATAATTTATATGGATAAAGTTAGTGGTTAGTTGATACCATTTTTCCTTCAGAATTGAGGAACTTATCATCATTCTTTTTTACCCCCTCACAGCGAATTGAATTCCAAACTACAAGACACTCTGGAGCAAATAGAGGTATGTGGCTTTCTGATTCATCTCTAATTTCGTTATTTGTGAGCAATATCATTAAAGAGATTTCTAACAGTGAATAAGATTGTGGTCTAACCTTGTAATTCTCCAGAAGCACTCATCTGAAAGAAGCAATTTATACTTAATTTTGACATTTTGATAGTTTCTCATTCTGGGCCTGCAAAATATTGACACATTCAGAAAGTCATTATTACCAGTGAGCAAGCACAGTAAATGATCTGTTCCATCTCTAGCTGGGTCTTGGTGTTTATGTGTGATAAATGGTATGCAAAGCAATTTTCTCCACACCGCTGCTGCTGCGCTTGAGTAGATTCATTACTTACACTTTTGTCTGTACACAAGAAACAGGCGTGCACGTGCACACACATGCATAGTCCCACGGCAAGGTGCTTGTTTGTTTACTCGTCAGCCTGAGTTTGTTAATAAGCAAAGCAAAATCCTCTAAAATCATAAAGGTAAACGGTTGCACAGAGAACAGACAAACACAGACACAAATCAAGAGTCAACCCAAGATCGCTAAGAGCCAAAAGCACCTTACCAATATAATGATTTAGTATTCATATAATAATAAACTATAAATATACATATACTCTTCATATACAACATATACTGTGTGTATGCTTTTACACAATGGAGTCGTCACTGGTTGGCCTAGTCTGTAAGCTCCTTCATCACACACACACACACACACACACACACACACACACACACACACACACACACACACACACACACACACACACACACACACACACACACACACACACACACACACACACACACACACACACACACACGCTTGAATGTCAATGCCTTCTATAGAAGAGCAACCAAGCAGTCAACCGAGGAAAGCAATTTTTCTATAAATAAATACACTTTGTGCTCTCTCAGCATGATTAAGCCCAAAAGAAACTCAGAGAACATCTTATATCAGTGAGGTTTTGTACAGTATGTACAAGTTTAAATTATATTGGGCAGTGGTCGTTTTATAAAGTGAAACGTTGAATTTATCTTAAGAGATGTCAAAAAGCTACAGAATTAGTGTTTTTACTACTTAATTATTTTTACCGCATAAAAAAAGGAATCTGAGGAAAACTGCAATAGAAGGAACTAAAGGTGGGGATTTTTAAACTTCACATCTAAGGGATTAATCCTCACATGACCGATCATTAAGCACCATTAAAAACGCCACTACATTCAATTCGACCAATACAATGGCACTCACCAATTTGATTTCTCTTAAAGCGTTTTTGAAAAGGAATTCAGCTCAAATATAAACCGAATCTATGCAAGTTACTGCTTGCAAATCACTACAGAACAAATGTCAGCCTTCCTCAGTGTTTAAGTGCAGCTTCAAACATACATCAAGGCGTGAGAAAATATGCGGTGATGCAATGCATTTGATCACTTTCTGCGTCTGTCAGCGCTATACTGTATTCTTTGAGTTGAGCTTATTGTGTCAGGGTTGTTAAACATGTACATCTTCACTTTCTGCTAACCTTGATTTACTTTCTTACCTCTCTTTTTATCTCTTTGTCAAAGACTTTCACCCACACAAGTTGTATAAATAGTATAAATACACCCACATGCACATCCAATTGACCTTGACCTTGTGTGGTAGCTGATACATCTGCACATCTATATCTAAATCCCGGGTCTTAACGTTGATAATCCCTCTCTTTTCCTTTCCTTTGCCGTCCATCTATTTCTGCCTCCAGGAGCAGCTTGATGTCGCCCTGTCGAAGACTTGTAAGAACTTTGATGTTTCGCACTACACCAAGGTCCAGCTGGCCTACACTCTCCTGGGAAAGACACAGGTCAGTGGTTGGATCATTTTTAAGGTCACAGGAAATAGCTAAACATGACCTCATCTACTGCATATGTCCTTTTATGACTCTTGATCTTTCTCTTGGGGGTTTTTAAGAATATTGTATGTCTTGTCTTTTCCTATCCTTAATTCATATCAAGGGTAATGTGCAATCAGTAGCCATTGTTTTTTTCTTTATTCTCAGAACGTCTTGCCATCATTTAGATAAGAAAAATATAACAAAATCTTCCATAGACAAACTGGTTAAACAAATACAGCAATCAAGGAACGGTCATTGATTTTATTGAAGTTCCTATTTGTCATTATTATCCATTCCTTTCTTACCAAACGGATTTTACACCAGAGTTTGAATTCAGGGTTTTTCTCATTGCATGTCATCCTTTGTGATAAGGTTGTTCATTCCTTACTGTCAATCAACTGACACCCATATAAATCATCCACAAAAATGAAATATCATACTTTCTGTATAAATGTCTGGGAACAAATTTAATAGAGCATAATAGTAGACCTCAAATGACAAAGCATTATCTTTCTCTTCTCACTCTCCTCTTACTCCTTATATCCAACGCATCAATCTCGAATGCTACGGCCTGTCTTTAATACCCCTTTGCTCCATCAACATCTCCAAAATGTAACTTGGCTCTGATCTCCCTTTTCTGCTTTAAATAACTTTTCTTCTCACCTGATCTTGAGCTTTCTGTTAAGCTGAAAACATATCGTTTTTCTTCCACTCCCTACTCCTGTACCAATGCTCTCTTGTATGACTAATCAGTCAAGCCTTGAGTATTAACAAGCTGTGTGCTACCATAATCTTTGTAATCAATATTTGTTCCTTTCCTACCAAAATGGGGACCGGTGTCCACTAAAATGAGAAGCAATCAAGCACAGTCATTTTAAACGATGATGAGGCTGTTGTGTCTGAGAATAACATATTTCGACCAAATTGATATGGACTCAGTAATTCCACAAATGCAGTTTCACTCATCATGAAGTATGTCATAGCAGCTCCTGCAACGCACATTTTTGCTCAGCCTACAAGTGATGGTAATTAAAGCCTGTATGGGTTCATTGCTAAGGACTTACAGTGGGTGTTAAAGGATTGTACTCGATGGACGTAATTGGACAGAGATACTTAACTCAAATTGAGTTGCATTGGACGAATACTGTTCTGCAAACATGACATTTACAGCTTTAAAATGTTCAATCGCCAACGTAGACATCATAAAATAAAGTTCATTTTTTCCGCATTACACTAGGCAGTACCAACGTCTGACAGCTCTTTGCTGATTTACAGTTGAAAAATGTGCTGTTTAATCCAAGTGTAACTGGAGCAAACAAAAAGAGACTTGTTCTCATCCTGGCAATAACAAACCTTTCCCTCATTTTTATTTACAAATTCTGCCACAGTTGATGATAATCAATGAGCTGTGTGACTCTTGACATGAGCAGCCATTTTGAGTTTGAGACCGCGTCATAGTGTTTTTCCTATATCTGTGATAATGAGCGGTTTCCGACTGAAAAGCTAAATAAGGATGTGTTCCCGACTGCCTGTTACTCCTTAAGGCTTTATTTTTTTCATATTTTTTAAATGTTTGGCTTGAACTGAATTGGCTTTGCCCGCACTCTCTACATCTGTGTTTTTCACACTTATAATGATGTCCGACCGAGTGCTTGCCCTCAGGTACTGCATCTTCCTGAAGAACTGCTCTCATTCGGATGAGTGGTTGTTGAGAAACTAAAAACATAAATAAATACAGAAACCAGTTCCATCTATGACATTTGTCTGAATCTTAGCTGTTACTACAGTCTGTTTTTGCTGCAGTGCACACAAATAAACAAATGACCCCTATTAATCTGACACTCTTTAGTTGGATGTGTACATGAACTGAGGCAAGACTCCACTCTTGACCTTCAGTAGCATAACACTTCAAACCATTTGTATTTTCTCTCTGCTCTCACTCTCATTACCTGGCTCATAGCCTAATGAGCCGGACACCAGGTTTGCTTTTCTAACATTTATCTGAATGAAACATGTGCTTGTTTTGTATAAGTGGCTGCAGAAGAATAAGTCTGTTTGCTGTTTTAGTTGATTGATAATTATGTCTAAAGATGAGGATTATTATGATGTGCGTTGCTATAGTTGCCTGCTGGTTCTTGCAGTCTATGCTTTGGACAGCCAGCAATTAATTAATGGTGTTTTTTTGGACGGATGAAGTTGAAAACTGCCTTAGAAAATAGGGAAGAAATGTTTGAATTGCTTCTGTAGCAGCAGCAGCATTCAGAATGGATTCGGGCAACTTTTTTTTTACAGTTTTGAGCTTGTGGTAAGACCATCTAATTTCTACTGACACACATTACCTACATGTCTTTGCTCATCCCTGTGCCCACATCTACTACAACTCTGGTGTCCTCAATTCACAATGATCCCATAAGAAAGAATGTGGGTGGGAGCTGCAAAACAGAACATTATTGTAAATGTAAGAGAACAAATGTATAAGACTTGAGTTGAGCCCAGTGCAGTGTAGCAAAATGTTATGTTTTTCAGGAAAGCAACATAATGATAAATGAAACGATAAAGAAATCCTACTTTTCCATTAAAAAGCTGTTATTTTGTTTTATTACAGCTGCCCCAATCAATATTTTTTATAAAAACATTGGATCTAACCCTAACCCTTCAGCTCTACAAGATATTTAAAACTGTTTTAAAGCTTGCGACTTTACTGTGTTGTTTAATAGCACTGTTGTCATTGGACTCATGGCTCAGGATAATGACTCATTAAGATGAGATGGCTCAGGGTAATGAAGGAGATAAATGGAGCCACAAGTTAACATAGCTGGAGGCAGTTAGCTGTGCTGCCATACATTTCACTAAGATACTTTTACCACTGTGTTTCTCTATTTGTATTTGTTATTGCTTCATTAGTGACACTTTCCAGAGTGTGAGTCATGGAAAAACTGGAGGCGAAATTGCCTATTTTCTCTTGGACTTGAACATTGCATTTCCCAAGAGTCGGCTATGGCCATTTCCCCTCATCCCATATTGTGTAGCTAACATAATATGCCTGCAAATAATTCAACATATCAAGTATACAGTCTCCAAGAAGTTTGATTTGCAATTGCCAATTTGCTGTTTGCCTTTTCACAGACCCACACTGGCACACGACAGTGACATCTCAACACAGTAGATTTCATAACAGTGTGTTTGGCTCTCTCTGCAGACTGCTATGGACCAGCTGCACATGCACTTCACCCAGGCCATCCACAACACAGTGTTCCAGGTGGTGCTGGGATACGTGGAGCTGTGTGCTGGCAACGCTGATACCAAGTTCCAGAAGATGCAGTATAAAGACCTTTGCACGGTAAGGAGATGTGTATCTGTATGTGTGTGTAGGTGTGTGTGGGTGGTCTATTTATTCCACCACTCTTCTCCCATTCTGTCTTCTTCTGCTGGCAGCTTTATGGCCAGAAAAGGTTAGGTTACAATGTGAAAACTAACCCCTTCTTTACTTAGTCAAGAGAAAACCTAATACGGAACAGAAAACACCACCTTCAGAGTGCTGCGATGACACATTCAACCACTTTCTCAGCTTCTAGCCAAGCGAAAAATGCCTTATTTCATGACAAGGGATTCTACAGATTCTCCATAATAGAGTGAAATGAAGGAGTTGAAGAGAAAGTGATTGGGAGAAAGGAAAGAAAAGTATATTGTAGCCCTTAACTATGAGATAATTAATCTTGCTCACAATACAGAACCAATGCATTGCAGCAGCACTTTTAGATTGGAGTCTCCGTTCGCATCAGTTCCCCCCTCTGTCTTTTTCTTTCCCTCCAGATCAGAATAAATCACATTTGCATGGCCAGCAAGCCGCAACTTGGTCAATTCATCATTAACTTGCTGGGAGTGTCTTTTCGTGTTATCGTCTACAGTGTGACAGGTTGTTTATGTGGAGGTATAGGTTAACCCTACCTGAGTGGACGCTACCATTTCTAAAATCTCTCCCTATATGTCAGCTGTCATATTGTTTTTCCTCCATGACCCTTCATGTGTGGCCTTGCTGTTTCACTGCACAACTTTTACTAGGGGCATTGCCAGCTACTGTATGCTCATGTCTACAACCCCCTGCCCTTGACCTCTTATTGTTGTGCTTCCTGTCCTCTTCACTTCCCATCTCCTCTTGCTTATAAAATTCCGTTTATAAAGGTTTTAGGCTTCAAAGTCGAGGCTTTTTTAGGTTCCCTAGGGATCAATGTTTCCTTCTGTCACTATAAAAAGATGTCAAAAATAGAATGAAACACATCTTTGCTGGGATTTAAAAGATATATGCTTTTGCTTGTTGTTTTAGATGTCATCAGTATAACTGGAAATAGTCTGTGAATGCAACTGTACAGTAGTTACAGAAGCATCCTGATGTTGTGTGTTTGATGGATACCCTGTCAGCACACCGTGTTGCCTGGATGATCGTACTCATACCACAAATACTCACACACATACACAAAAGACTGTACAAACACTCTTACGATTGATCGGATGTGTCATTACACTCTGGGCTGTGTGATCATGATTGATAGGGCAGCACATCCACACATTGGCACGCACTCAAACGAAGAGGTATGTGAACAAGCACACATACAGTTCATTTTTCTGTCAGGCAGCATTTACAGCCTGTCTGCAGTAAGTTTCCCGGGGAGAGAGTGGTTTTTATTACTTTTATGCCTCTCTGTAGATCATTTTTGTTACGTTCCCACCTAACTAGGGGCAAAAAGGGAAGTAACAAAACACCAAAACAACCGGGCGAGAGAAAAAGGAGAGGAAACCGTCTACTGAAGCCACAAAGTGAGATTTGAATTAATACAAAAGTAAAGAGGCTCACCAGCCAAATTGCAAAACAAACTTAAGCAAATAAGGACAACTTTCTTCCAAAAGAAAGTGACTAACGTTTAGACAATAGACAAAACACACTGGAGCACATCTCCAATTAGCAGTACACAGGTTAAACTAGATCTCACACAGAGACACTACACTACACTACACTACACTACGTAACACAGGCTGCACACATGCGGCCAGAGAAGAAGGAGAGGAGCCACTGCAGCCTTCCTCAGGTCCTTTTAAGGAGGCCCTGATTGGGGATTGGGAGCACCTGGGGGAGAGGCTGCACCTGGAGACAATCAGGGAGAAAGAGAGAGACACCCACACACACAAAATTGAAGGCACTTTTGTACCTGCCTTTTTAAAATGTCAAAGGGAGAACTAACTGAAGTACCCATGTGTATTAAGTGTCTATGTTGCTAATTTAGTGCAAACAAACGGGACTGAGGTTTAGGGTTTGTCCTTTTTGAGTGTTTGAAATGCCCGTGTTTGGGACTTTTCAGCATAAAGGGAATCATTGAGTAGTTTTAAAGGTGTCTCTGACAAAAAAATATACCTTTGACAAGTTGTCTATTAAATCAACAGAGAATGTGGTTGGAAAAACAGCAAAACACATTTTTCCAATCTTTAAACAAAGACTATTTGTTTGCTCTTGAGCAAGGTCTTTGGCCCTCACCTTCACCGGTGGAGCTGTTCAGCAGAGAATGTGTTGATGTTCTGTATCAATACAAAATGTGCTCTACTGTATGTGGAATAGAGAAAACTTCTTCCGCTGCTCTTCCCCTAACAAACGAAGCTTTAGAAAATGTAAAAGCCACATTAGACCTTCCGAACCTCTTAGTTGTGCAACTTAAAATTCAAGGGAAATGAGAACACTCAGAAAGGTCCTATTAATTTTACATTAACATCTCATCATTATTGGCCAGCCTCATTCCTTATCAATCCCCTTGTCTGTCTGACTTTTTCTCCTGATGGAAACAGGACAGCCCACTCCAGAGAATCGTAGAAGGTTCTCAAAGCGGAGCAGTCGGCTGTTAAAGTAGTATGGTAGTAAACATAGCAGCCTTTCCAAGCTGCTAAGGGTGCTTTAGCCTCATCGTTTTTGTTGTTGTACATGTGTTATACAAAGCCATTATCTCTGTTAGAAAAAAAACTCCTCAATAACATCATAATGGCTTGATAACCCATAGTGATCCATTCCATTTTCTGATGTGCAGTGTCCCATTATTTTGTACTAGACTGACCTTCAGTGCAGATATATATCTGATGGGTGGACCATTTCTGCAAGGCCGTGGACTAGATTCAGACACTGTTGCTTTTTAATGTTAAGCAATAAGCAGGGCCATGGTCATAGGCTAGCTTGGCAACTGACTGAAACTAATTAGCCAGCAAACTTCATGAATGGTATTATTTCAGCTCTTTTGTGAGGACAATGGTCTCATGTTGTTGTTGTTATCACATAGGAAGAGTTTTTTGATTGTTTTTCTCCCATGTGCCACATTTGATACGTTTGTTTCTGTTTAATTGCCTGGGTCTTTCTTGTGTGTTTCTGGAGAAATTGTGAGATGGGAATAGCAGCAAAATGTCTCCCCCAGAATCCCATGGAGACTCAGGCGCAATGCCCCGGACAGAGTTGAGTCGACATGTGCAATGAACCTAGTCGTCACTCATGGCACGTTTTGGTGATGGAGAAAAGGGAGCAAATAAACAGAACAGTTCCCTGTGTGTAATATCAATCTCATACCCCAGTCTGGATAAGGTAATTGAAGTTATGAATCAAAAAGTGATGAACATATAAAGGAACCATAGCTTTTAAATGATCTAATAATTTTAAAGTGTAAACCATCGTTTTACTTTAAAGGTTTAAAAATCACGTCAGCTCAAAAGGAACAGCAGACCAGGTTTTTACTGCAACATGGTTCTGATGATTAAAAAAAAAAGAAGCACTTAACGCTTTGTCTTTTCAAAATCTCTCTGACACATCTCGACATAAAGTATGTTTAATGCATAATGATGGGTAACTTTCTTCAGAAGACCTGGCTGATCCTGGGCCTGCCTCCTCTGAGCTCTCATCGCTGTTGAAGTTTTTTAATAGCATGTTTTCCTGCCAAACTGCTGGTGTTACATGCAAACACTTATGTCTGACACACACACACACACACACACACACACACACACACACACACACACACACACACACACACACACACACACACACACACACACACACACACAAACACACACACAAGCACACACACAAGCACACATACATTACCTGCATCCCTTACCCCCACATCGTCTCCCCTGACTTCAGTTGCCTGGCAACATGTTGCCGTGATATGGTTAATTTGGTAGAGAACATTGGATGTTAAATGTTAGCCTTGTTTTTTAGCTCACCTTTCTGACCCTGTGGCTTGAGCCCGTTTGTAACTCAAGATGTGATTATCTCTATTGTTCATTTCAGGTTGACTGTACATTAATATTATAACTCTAGGATGGTACCCACCGTAGAAAACATGTAATCGTATAAATCTCATATTGTTATTATATAAGGTTGTGTCTTTTATTGCTAGTATTTATTGTCATTAGATACTGAACGCAAATAAGTATACCCAGAATACTTCAATATTTTAGTGTAAGTGCTATTCATATTAAAATAGAACAAAGTTGTTTTGTTTTTTATTATTCAGTCTTGACTTGTCATTTTAATTTTGAACCTGCTCTCAAGCAGATTTAGGTTTTATTTTAATAATTACATTTTGCCATGAAATGTTGTGTAATATTGGGTATCAATGTAAAATAAATTACAATTGAATTACAGCGACCATTAGAAGCAGTCAATTGTTAACCTCTATGCTGAACCAACAGAGTGAAATAAAGATTACAATTAGTACTTACTTTGTTTGTAGTGTCCATTGCAGCATCGTTACCGTTTATACTGACTACCAATATCAGGGAGTGCGAAGTGTTTGTGTGTAATATTGAAGGTGTGAGACTGTTTGTACACACAGGACTGCACATCCTTTCAGTCGTTACTGCAAAAAGCCTTTTTTATAAAGAATCCATAAATTGTATAGTACCCTTCACTAATGTGCGCATTAGCTGTGCTCTCAGAGGTCGACAGGTTTGGCCTTGTAGCCTTCATTTGGAGGTGAGTTTCCACTGTTGTGTTTACAAAAACATCCTCAGCAAGTAAACAGTGATTAATGTTCACTCTAGCAATGGTATTAAAAAAGTTTGAGTGCAAAGGAACACATTCAAATGTGGATTTATTACACTTGGTAGGAGCGTAATTCACTGTCATCACTGGAGGTTGGATGTGTATTCAACAGTGAAGTGTGCAGTGAAGCATCACCTTTCCTTCATATTCCAATATAATATCTGACTCACTTCTTTATTTGACTAATGTTGACTATTTCACTTTTAAATTGAAGCGCTTTAAATGTCTGATAACCTGTTCATCTTTAGCGTTCAGAGTAGTTTCATTACTGGGAAAAAGGCTGTTAAATTCTTACCAACAACTAACAGCAGTGGAGGCTGTTGTGTGATTCTGCTGCCATGGGCAACCATTTACATCCTTTAGTGTGCCGGTCATTATGTGAGACTTGCTAATGGTTTCCAGTGGTGAATGTAACTTACGTGTCTCACTAAAAACGGTTCTAATGAAAGATTTCTGTCAAGTTGTGGTTTGTCACTCAGGAAATTATGTCATGGCATACATTCAGGAAATATTTTACTCACGTTGTTTTGTGCACGGTTAGGCGTGTATTGCAAAGCACTATTTTCTCTTTTAGCAACTATACCGTCTGTGCGTCAGGCTTGTGTTGTTTATCTTTCCAATGCTTTTGTGAAGGCTGCAAACGCTTCATTATCGTGGTTTAGCAAACAAAGTGAAGAGCGGCTGCTGTCCACAGCTCCGTTTCATCTGACATGATTAATTTGTCTGCGGACATGTTGACAGGACTCCACTGGCGAGTTATTCGGTCGAGCCTTGAACTGTGTCAGTGGCTACTATTGTGCCAGCTGCACTTTTCTTTGGTCGGCCAATTTTATATTTAACACTCCAATTTTTCCAGACTGTCTGTCTTCCTGAGAGCTGAGGATCAGACATGTCCATCTGTTGTCTGTTTGCAGTAAAAACAGCAGTGTGCGTTAGCCTTTGTGTACTTGTTCAGCTGTCTTGGTTTTGATTCAGCACCACTGACATATTTTATAAAATGCAGTTGCGGTTTATTCCATAGGCATGTTACTGGCTGAAATATCATATACATCTTTTTTTATTTATCACATAATGCATGAACCCTAACCCTAACCCAACACAAATCTAGTGTCAAGTATTACAAAAGTTTTATGAAAGCAATTATTTGCTTCCTGCCGTGGGCTCACGAACATTGTATCACAGCTGATTTATGACTTTCTGATGTTCAGACAAAATTTAATTATCCACCTACATAGACATTTTTATTATTATAGATATACTCTCTGTGAAATCCATTTTAGAATCATCCAGGCTTGTCAATTCTGAACTCAAGTCGTCATGCTATGATATAACTTAATGTGCACATCAGAGATATTTGACACCCTCTTAATAAAATCATTATTTTAATCAGTCCTTACGTTAATAAGCTCCTACATAAGATGAAAGCTTTACTAATGCACTGGAAAAATAAATATTTTCCTTCACACTGTCCTTGAATGATGACTATAATGAGATGTAATTTATTATTGCTTAATCTTTATTTTAGTCCAGCACTGTGTGTCTCATAAATACAAACACATATTTTAGATTAATCAAATTATATTTAGCACAAACATGGAGCAATTCAAAAATTAAATCACTGAATTATTGCAATGTGGAAAAGAGCATCATTGACCTTGTTTTCATTGCTTCTCTGTTTGCAGCACATTACCATGGACAGCTACATTCCCTGCCTGACGGATCTCTGCAAGGCATTGTGGGAGGTGATGGTGAGCTACCACCGCACCATGCAGTGGCACGAGGAGCATGACAAACAGGACACCTCACACACTCCAGGTAAGAGGCTCTACCTGTTTAAACCACCATAACCTTTTGTAATTATTCTGAAAGATTCAGAAACACTACTCTTCTCGTCTGACCTCCAAACATACAAGTGCACAGCTCCCTGTAGAAGCATACAGATTCAGACATTTAAGATACAATAACAACCTCCTGACCTTCCGTGTTGCACATGCTACCATTTGTTGCCCGTTCCTTCTTTTTTAAAATCTTCAACCCCCTTTAAATCTGACTTTGTCTCTTATTCTCTTTCTCATAAAAACATAAAACACCAAATCTGCTCCCTAAGGCGAAAAAGTCCCTCACAGATTCATAACCCGAACCCTAACCCTGTTTTTTCAACATACAGAAGGTTTATCAGCTTTCTGGGTGTGTAAAGGCCCAGATACACCGGCCAGTCACCTGAGATGTCGCCGACGCCCGACGCCCGACACCAACTGTTGCGTCGCCGGACTCTCCTGCGTATTTGCCGACTTCGCGCACTGGAACACACCGCAAATCCAAGCCGAGCATGTATGAACTGCGCATGCGTGAGTGGCAATAACTCTCCTTACCAGCAGGCGGCGGTAGTGTGTATTCATCATTCAAAAGAGGCAACAACCAGAACAACCGGAAAACAGAGAAGAAGAACAGACTCCGTGATATAAACAAACAACAAATAGCGTTTTTCTTTCCATTTTCACTCTCGTCCATTGAAAACATGAACGAACAGGAGCTCTATAAACCGATGAGGTGAAATAGCCGTCCGTGTGTGTTCCATCTTCCATTTTGAATCATTTGTTTACCTCCCTCACTTCTGTCAACGCTTCTCATGCACTGATTCGCTAGCTGAACAGCCAATCGGTGTTATCCCTTTGTCCGACTTCTAGTGGTGTTCCCGACGTTGAATCGGCAAGAAAAGGCATCAGGTCAGCAGAAAAGACCCGACGGTGCGGCGCACACCACTCCGAATAGGGCGTGCCCACGCTCATGTTCGGCCCGACTCCCATTTACTGCCGATTTCGGGCCGGTGTATCTGGGCCTTAAGAGGAAAAGGGAGTCCTTAATGTGTGCTGGGGCTTTAGTGCAGCATGTAGCGTTGTGGCACAGATTTTAAAATGGCATATATTTTTCCGCATTTATGAAGTACTACTTCAGTGTCGAGGTCATTGAATGTGTCATTAGTGGAATAATTACGTTTGATTGGACTAGCCTTGGTAAAACACCTCTTCTTGGCAGCAATGCAAATAGATGTGCTTTACGGTTATACAGTTGTAAGGTATCTCTGTGGCGCAATATTAAAGAGTTTATATGTTAATTTGTCGGTTGTGGAATTATCACATTAGAATTGGTTTGAAGGGCGTTCCTAATTACATGAATATAAATTAAATGTAGACATTGTTGAATTTATATTGAAGAATTAATATGACCTGGACGCATGGGTGATGAAGCATGAATGATGCATTTTTTTCTTATGGAAATGTATCATTGACGACTTTGGTTGTGATCCGTTAATAAAAAACAAGAAATGAATGTATAGCTGTTTCAGTTGGATATGGTAGTGTATGTAAACAGATCAAACTTGGACTTTTTCTTTTGGGGTTTTTATTTATCGTCCCTAGTAGATACCCCAAATTCTACCTGTTTTATCAATTTTTTTACGTACATTTATTGATGATACTAATACATTATATAAAGCAAACAGATCCTCAACTTGAAAGCTGCACCCAAGTTATGGCCCGTTTAGTTCAGCAAGACAACTGTACTCCACATCTGTCCAAACCCAAAGCTTATGTCTGGATCAACAAGAAAGTCTAGCTTGTGTTGCAGCTTCCATCAATCCTGCCTTCAGTCAGCCAGTTGTGAAAACATCAGCCTCGAGCAGCTCAGTTGTCAAGGCAATACATACTTTGTGGTTTAGCGGTAAGCTCCACAAAAAGTTGAATTCCTTACAAGTGTAAGAAAGGAAACCATACTGGATTTGGTATATCGCACTTCTCAGCTCATCATTTGTGTTGCCAAGGACTTTGTCAAGGAGCTGCAAATAAATAACTGTCAAATTAGCTGCTACCTTCCCGTTGCGTATCGAAAGAAAGCTAATTTCCATTCCCCACACTGTACAGAATTTATTAGGCAAATGGATGAGGACACAAATAGGCTAAGTCCTCAGAATCCTCATTAGATGCGTTCCTCTTCATAGGGGAAAGGACATACACCGTGTTTCCTTTCATGAAGCCCATCTATCATCTCCCTATTTGATTGGCTGTCACCTCTATCCTCTGTGTAAAGGTGTCCCTGACCCCGCCTTTTTCCTGGCTTTCATCTTTCTCTTTTTTTCATCCTAATGTCCATCAGAGTAATGATTTACTATACAGGCTTTGTCTCATTTGTATGACCTCCACAGGAAGTGACCTCCATCTCACACAAGAGGTCCGACCCACTGAAGATCACTCCTCTTATGCTAGACACTCACCCGATTGAGATGTTAAAAAAAAATAAAAATTATCCCATTGAATGTTAGCCAGTTTCTACTTGACATATTGAGCTGGTCAGTGTAACGAATCTTGCCGGTTGATGAAAGCAAAGGTTGTTTTAAGAAGTTCTAAAGGTCAGGGTACTATCCCCACCTGACAAACTAGATTTGCTGCCCTGTCCCGTATGATCAGCACTGAAGGCTGGGAGGCTCCATGTGTGTGAGACCCCTTGAGTGAGTGAAATCAAATAACCATGGCCAGTTGGTGACATGTTCCTACAGAGCATGGACATGGTCCATGTTGGCTAATATATGAATATATAGTGGCTCTCTGCTTTGCGATGATAAAGAAAAAGTATTTTCAGCATCAGGCGAGAGTCGACCTTCACACCTGATTAGTGTTGAGTAGTATCATGGAATATAAAGTGAACTACAGAGCATGCAATGTGAAATAACTTATGCTTTACTGACCTAACATCATACATTGTTATTTTTGTATTGAACCATTCCATCTTACTTTTCTGTTCATATAAACATCCTCAAGTCAAGTTAGCAACACTCTAAACAAAATGTTTCTCATCTCAACATTTACAACCTGCAGATCATGATTGGATTAATATGCAAGCCATTTGAATGAATGCATCTGCTTTAAAGGACTTTCATGTTGTAAGTTGCATACAACGTTGGGATCAAGCCTTTCAACACATGAAGCTGTGCGTGTGAATGAAGTAAAGGACAATTTGTTAGGCTCAAACTGCACCAAATCAGCATTTAATATGGTAATTAAAAATGCATCGTGTATTCGGTCTGATTGATTATAATCCCTCCAAAAATATGTTGGGTTTATTAAACATATGGTGCAGTGCTATAGGCCAATATTACACAAAATGTACATAAGCGTAACATTTTCAGTTTTTTTTGCTAGTCGAAATCAGCTGTATTTTGCATAATTGTATTTATTTGGCATCTGCATCGTCTGTGGGGAATTCAGATTATAATTTGTTTGTTAAAGGCTTCACGTTGCCAGAAAGACAATCTGGTTTTGCTTTTTCTCTTCTTAATTTGTAAGAAGATTTATGCAAAGTCATGCAAATGCTCTTGTTGGATGAGTCATAGTTTGAAATCTGCAGGGAGCTAAGCCGCCTGTGGGTGTTGTCCTGTGAGTCACAAAGAACTCCGTCACCCACAATGCCACCAAGGGTCAAACAATGGTTACCGCCTACTGAGTAGCCAAAGGTGGCGTTCCCCATCGTTCACCATTCCTACCGCTCTTTATTAACACTTTTAGTAATCAGTCTTAAGGCTTTTTAACTGGATAACCCGAACAGGAAGTCTACGCCCTCACAGGGTCAGCACCCCAACTGCACTGAATGCAACCAAGTATGGGGAATACATGGGGATATAGTGTTGGGATGGAAATAATACGTTGTTCTATAAAGTTGAACTGCTTTGGTAATCACAATGTCACTATAAGAGTTCGTAAGGTTTTAAATCATGCAGATGTGTTGCAGTCTAACCAGGTGCTTTGTACAAGACTTATCATCAAACTGCTTGGAGTTTTGAACTTTGAAGTGATTTTCTGCCTTTTTAAAACTTACCCTTCAACATCTGACATAATCTGCTTGGTATTTCAAGCCTTTGTAGGCAATGGAATTCTCTCTTTTTTTGTTTATTAGAAGTTTTGAGTACAGCTTTTCGACATATACTGTAAGTTAACACTTCAGAATAAAAGAAAAGTACGAGTTATAATTGGATTTTTGACTTAGCCTTATGGTGCACCCACAACACTTCTTACCTTAGTCAGGGCTGTTTTCACGTTGTCTTCGCCGTGTTTTTGCTCTCTATTCCTCACAGCCCCTCACTCCCACAACTGTCCTTGTGCTCATTAAAGGAAACCTAGTTATGTCATGCTTTATCACAAGCTCTTTGTTCTTTAGTTTTTTAAGTAAATGCAGTTAAAACCAGCTCTGTCCTAATTAATAATTCAAATTGCAGCTAAAGTTATTGGGGTCTCAAGGATAATGTTTGAAGCCTTCCCAGTGAAGGACATCCTTTGAAATTGATTTTACTTTGCGTTAACTTTATTATCAGATATCACGACTAGTATTACTCGAACATGATAGTGTTGGATGTGGAGGTAAAGGCAAGGACGGAAAAGGGTTGAATACATTTAAAATTCATCATGAGCACACTCACGAAGATGAGAATCTGAAACCATATATTTCAAATAAATCCAAATACCATGGAAAAGCACAAGGTTTCACGTCTATTTCAGAGTGTGAAGATTGCAATCAGTCTGTGGGAGGAGAAGATAAACGTCCATGATGGAGCCAGGTGGACGGGTATACTTGCCGGCCAGAATTTAAATTCAATACTCTTGTGAAAGTGCTACCTCTTCAACCACCAAATAATCTTGCTGGTGTGGTTTTCAAAAAAGGAGAAGCTTTTTTCCCCTTGTCTGAAGGATAAGACACACTTGTCAAGTTAGTATGTGAAAAAGTGCTGTTGAGATCTGTTTTGGTGCATTAACCAGATCATTATCAAATATTTCCTATACCTTTCTAAACTGTCTGACAC